AATGATTAATCGATTAAATCAATTATCTAATCGAAATGGTCCCCGATTATAGATAATCGATTACTCAAAATATTAGTTAAAAGCATATGAGTTCGCGTACCTATCAATTTAACCGAAATTTTCAGTAAATAAAAAAATACGTAATACCTATAATAATAACATTATTATTATAGGTATTACGTATTTTTTTATTTACTGAAAATTTCGGTTAAATTGATAGGTACGCGAACTCCTGTGGTTAAAAGCAAATTATTCCTTTGATTTTTGATTCATTCTTCTTTGAATTTAACTAAATCCTAAATAATAATCTAATAAATGAACCCAATGATACAAACTGTTTCAAAAATGTATTTTGGAAATCACTCCAGAATTTCTAAACAATTCATTCTACATTTGAAATTGAAGAAATATAATATTTGAAATTAATCAATTTTTTTTTTCGATTATAGTGCATCCCATTATTCCAATAATCAATTATGAAAAAAATCCCAATTTCCCATCACTAACCATATGCAAGAATTGTAACTGTTTGATGAATACTAACTGGTATATTAGGTTTGACATTAAATATTATGAATTATACATAAATACAAACATACTTAATTATTGTTTATTTATAGTATCATAGGGACATACAACTTGTATGTTTCATAGTTATTAACTTATTAAACATTTCATGTTTGAAATAAAGCCAACAGGTTTAGGTATGTGAAATCACTAACTGCCCATATACATGTAACAAGTTTATTGATGCAGACCTCTAGTAAAAAAAAAAAAGGGGGGGTGCAACTGACATCTTAATGAAAATTTACTCTATAGCCAAATACTATTCTCAGAAAAAAATTAGGAGGACAGACCCCCCCCCCCCCCCAACACACACAACCATTCTGTAGGCCTGTATTGACTAGATCAGGTGGACAAGTTCATTTGCTTGTTATTAAAATGAAAATTATTTTATCACCTAAACTAATAACTAAAACAAGATTTTTGTTTCTTACAGAGAGTGGGAACATCGTGATCATATCAGCAATGAGATGAGAAAAGTTTTCAACTTTTTCCACAAAGAACAATCAATAAACAGGCAGACAAAATTACAGGTCTATAAATAAATGGAATGAAGGTGTACAATAACAAGTGAACATAGAAGTTTCCATGTAACAATCAGAATTAGACTAAAGTTTTGAGTAACGACAAGAAAAGTGTAGTCACTGGATACATATCATTTCCTATGATGTCCCAGTATTATCGAATGCAGTTTAAAACTGGCATTGCCAACAAATTCGATATGGAGTTATTGATGGAAGATGTGAATTGAAAACTGTGTGTGACTCGTTATAAAAAGTAAAGTGGATTCTATCTCAGAATGCAGACTTTTTCAGTTGAAAGACCCCCCGAGTTTTATATGAAAAGAGTCATATATCTTCAGTCTGTTTGAAATGTCCATGACATCAGTTGTGGATACATTATTGGTGTTATCAGAATTTGCCATGTCTGTAGCATCATTTTTAGATACAATGTCAGTGTTTGGTACTAAATGTAATAAGTTTTCATTAATTCAAATTTGGTCAAATTACAAATTATTTTTCTTTTTTTTTTAATTGTAGATAGAGCAAATAAGTTTTCAATATGTTAATGTATTTTGATTCTCATGAAATTTGCAATATTAAATACATTTCATTATAAAAATTATTTAATTACCTTATCATTGTATGAACAGATGCTAAATACACTGCATGTTAAAAAAAAGAGTAGAACCTGGGAAATTCATCTTCCTTATTTTTAACAAGGTTTTCCATTGGAAAAATGATGAAAATGGCACACAAGGACTGCTAATGACCCAAATGCGTGCCATGACCTTGACTCAAGATCCTTTGATCAAGTTAAATGTCATTTTAAGAATAACATTGAATTCCTGTATTTTGTATGGAGAACATGAGATGCTCATACTGATCATAAATATTGCATATAACCTAAGGTTACATGTATGTATTGAGTAACTGACCTTGACTCAAGGTCATTCCAGCAAGTTCAAGGCTTCTGGCAGAAAAGGTGTGTTATCTGTACCTGGTCTATTACTCTCAAATGGAGGCTAATTGGTAGTTGATACTGGACACAAAAATTGCTTACGACTCAAATCTGTGTCATAATCTGACCCAATGTCATGAATGTATAATCTCCTACAACTTTCTTGTATTAATAATCTCCCGTCCCTCATGCATATGGTTACATTGAGGAGGTAATAAGCTGCCTCACGTCATGTACTGTAAATTTTTATCTTCATTCATAAGCTCCTGTCAGTGTGTGAGAGTTATGTCAGGTGCAGTATTACAAAGCTGCTCAAGCCCGTAGAATGCTGGGGGACCTACTTTTTCCGAGTATAGTAGTTTGCTATAGTGATTGCCCCCCCCCTCCCCCGTTGCTACAAGGTCAAGCACTGTCAATTTCCACGAAATGGACATTTAATTAGTTTGGTTTCTTTTTTTTTTTGCCCATCAGATTTTTTTGGGAAGTTGCCCCTTCCCCCTATTTTTGGTGAGTTTAGTTTTTTTTTTGTTTTTTTTTTTTGTTTTTTTTTTGCTTGACAGATTTTTTGGGGGGAAGGTGCACCCCCCCCCCCCCCAACTTTTGAAACCGTTGCTACAAGCCTACTGCTTGACTTGTAAACATGATACTTATTATTAGAGAAACAAAGGTTATTTTAACCATAAAAAGAAAACTAGAAAAAGATACTTAAGATAAATAGTTTAAAACCCTTCAAATTATAAAACATAAGTTCATCTATTTTAGTGAAGGACTATTTTTGTACTTTGTGGTTTTAGCTCTTAAAATTTTATCTGATTTTGTTAAATATTGCTGTTACTCTACACCATATTGTACACATGCATAGCAAAGTACAGTGTAGTATATTGTGGTGGTGTCACTATTTTCCCTAGCTTCAACAGTATGTATGATGGTTTAGTCAGACTTGTAGCAACAATTTCCAAAAAAAGGGGGGGGGGTGTCAACTTCCCAAATAAAAATCTGATAAAGGGAAAAAAGACCAAAAAAAGGGGGCAATATTTCTCAAAAATCTGACAACTCAGAACCCCCCCCCCCTCCCCGTATTCTACGGACCTGGGTTTAATAGCTGGTTAGTTAATAGTTACTGAATCATATCTAATCTTTCAATATTGCTGAAGATGGAAAATATTCATTCAAGACAAAGATTTATTATTAATTAAAATTAAACATGGAGACATAAAACGAATGTACAATAAGCCTCGAGCACTCTGTCTTCGTCGATTCACTTTATTTCATCCGTTCCACTAAAACGTTAGAAATTATAAGCCGGAGTTTCAAATTCTATTTTTTTTTTTTGTTCAAAACAATTCATAGATAATTGTAAACACCTCCTCCAAGTCTACTTTCAACTTTGATTCCGATTCGGCATTTTGTGTACGAGTTGCAAACTGGAAGTGACGTGTACACGATAATGTACAAAACCAAACCGGGAAATCGGAAGATTTTCGGATTGTTCGGCAAAAATCTGGTGAAAAGCATTGCCCGCCGTGTCACAAGAGAAAAATAATAACTACGATAAAAATTTGAGTTTAAAACGACAAAATCAGGAGAGTTAGAAACTATAAGCAAGTAAATAAATTGCAATCTCATTATTTTAACATTTTATAACAGGCTTTTTGAGCAGAGGAAATTCGGGTCAGGAAATTCGGGAGCACATTACTCCAAAACTACACACTAACATTATAATTTTTTATTAGCAATTTGTAAAGCAAGCAAATCACTATAAATATAGCATAAGATATCAAACTTTTAATTATTCTTTCATTATTAAAAAATACGTTGTACATATACATGAACCCATTTTCCCAATAAATTGTCATGATATAAATGAATCAAAATTAATTTGTCTTTTTGGCTTTTTTCTTGCACTATTTTGTTTTTGAAATTAAAATTTCAATATTGTGGATGACATCTTTTTCAAAAAAATATTTTTATGTTGTTTTTATTGTTGTTCTCAATTTTTTAAAAATTGGTTATAAAAATATCACTTTATCATACAGAGTTACCCCCCTTATTTTAGTGCGTCATAATTTTTGATTTACTCACTAGAACCTTTTCTTATAATATTTTATGAAATATATAAAGGTACTTCTTTCATTTTATGTGGATGTTTTAGAGTTTTAATTACTCTGAAATTAGGACTTGTCAGTACCATACTCCCTTAAATGAATATATGCATATATAAGAGCTCTTATAATTTTAACCTTCAAAGCATGTTTTGAAAGTTTAAATGATGTGTATTTAACACTCCGTAAAATTATTTTTTTTAATCACAGACGATTAGTTCTTTATATCAGTATTTGCATTAAATCTTCAGGTTTTAGAAAAACATGCCCTCTTTAAAAAATAAACAGCAGTTAAAGAAATATAAGCTACAAGTTTGGACTTACATGTACTCGACAATAGCAAAACTAATGACGCAATGCACAGATTTCCAGGGGGAATCCCCTGCTACACGTACACATGTACATGTACACGTACATGTTGGTTTGCTAAACCTCTCTATTATTTACAGTGCCATTTTAATTTTATTCTGAAGACTCAAGTGACTTTTCTGATTGAATTTTTGTCTATTGTAATTTCTATCATAGATCAGAAAAGAGAAAAAATTGATAGGGGCTCAGATTAAAGCCTAAAATAATATGTTCTTGAAAATAACAGGTTTTTCAAATGAACATAACTATTCTTTCTTATCTTATAGCATGTTGATTAGAATAGCTTCAGAATTAATGTATGAAATAAAATTTTTTAACAAAAAGTATTGTGAACGATAGTATTACAAGTTGTCAAATTCATAAACATTCTAATGTTTTGAAGAACAATTTATTCAGATAAAAGACTTTGAAACTAAAAGAGGTTCACTTTAGATTCATTCCTCTATAAGAGCAAGATGACTCAGGTCAGCGTTGTGGCTCACAGACCTCTTGTTTTCATTTTAGATAATAGAAGTAAATAACATGAGCAAAGTGAAGCTCAAGTACTGGTAAGTCAATTGAGGTGTATATCTTAAATTCACTTACACAATGAAATTATTATTTGATATAATAAAAATAGTTGACAGTTTTCAACATTTTTTAAAGAATGAATACATGTTTGTTCTTGCTTATTTTACTTTATATTGACTAGTTTATATTAAAGTTTATATTCAAGTGATGAAGATTTGCTTTACTTTTCAGTGGGGTTCATTTTAACTCCCCACAAATACAGCCAACAATAGAACAGGTTGACCAGTCATTTGGGGCCACACATCCAGGAGGTAAGACATATTCTTTTAGAAATAAAATTGAAATTTTAATGAAATGAATCTCGCAAAGGATATTTTGACTAGGAAATTTCATTTTCATTTCTTTGGAGAAGAAGTTTGAAAAATGATGACATATTTTTATTGAGTTACCGTATATTGAAGGTTAACAGTAGCCCATTTTGTGAATACCAGGTAACAGTTCTTTTTTTATTGTTGCTTCTCTACAGTGTATAACTCTGAAAAACAGCTGTTTGTACTAAACTTCAGAGGGCTTTCATTTGATTTTCCAATAGAATCCAAGTTTGAGGTAAGCAGGGATGGGGTAATTGATAAAAGTAATTGTAATTGAGTGTAATTAATTGCATTTTTCAAAGTAATTGGAAGTAATTTGTAATTGACCATTTTTTCAATTACTTGTAATTGAATATAATTAATTACAATGAAAAAAATACCATGTAATTTCAATTACTTTTCAATTACATTTCAATTACTTTACATAATACATATGTGTATTTAATAGGAAAATATTTCCAACACAGTCACATTTTATAGTTATTTTAATTTATTCAAAGGAGCCCTTTTGTTTTTCAAAATCTTAAACTCGTTTATATCTCAATAAATGAATTTGATGTATTGGCTTGTTTATTAAAATATTAGTTTATTTTATAATTATAATGCACATAAAGAATTAATAATAGTTTAATGTTTATCCAAAATTTTGTTCTACCTCTCATTGGTATATATAGGCATTAACACATTTCAATTTTTTGTTGCTTGATTAACAAAAAAGAATAGAAAATAATTGAATGTGTCATTAAGACCTGCCTTGTTGCCTTTCAACTCCCAGCTGTAAATTGCTATCAAAACATATACTGCTATAAATTGTTATCAAAAACAATCCTCCAAAATTTTATACAATGCTTTTTTTAAATTCAGAGTTATGACCATTAGAGGTTATTTACTAAATACTATTAAGAATGCTCTACTATTTATATACATGTGCTTCAGAGAAGAAATAAATAATTATTGAATCACTATTTTAACATTTAAACAGACCTTTATGTACATGTATGCATTTGGTATCTGCAATAGTTATTTCATAAAACAGATATTATTTGTCAACATTTGCAATTTAAGGTGTTTAGCTTGCCTACCTTTAGCTGAAATAATTTGAGAGTATTTTATGGTTGATTCATAAACTCTTGAAAACTTGTTTTTAATAAAATTTCATAAAGGCAGTCAATTAATTGATAAATGTACATGTAGGACTATGTCTTATGCTGATGAAACACACAAACATGACAGGCACCTGACATTATTTATTTTTAATATTCCCATTACCTTAAATTTACATGTATTTGTTCTTCAAGATTTTTGAAAAGGAAACAAAAGTAATTGAAATGTATTTAATTACATTCTTTAAAGTAATTGAGAGTAATTAATTACATTTGTAAAAATCAATGTAATTGTAATTGCAAGTAATTGACAATTTTTTCAATGTATTTGAAAGTAATTAATTACATTTCAAAGTAATTGACCCCAACCCTGGAGGTAAGATCATTTTTTTAAGTAGTAGACAGACTAAATGTAAGCCATGTCTGATGGTTATTTTCAGGAACATGACACAAAACAGAGTTTAACACTTAGTACTTTTTTTGACAGCCAAAGTATGCCCATGGCCTGGGTTCCCTACAGTTCCCCAATGGATCCTCCCCTGTTGTTTCCAGGATGTGTCTCTACACAGGAAGCAGTATGGCTGACACTAAGTATGTGAACTTCCTGTATAATCTGAACTCTTACAATTATGTGTTTGAGTTATTAGTTATAATTCATTTATTATGTCCTTTCCTGAACACACAACAGAAAACATTAAAGTACAAGATTAATTTATAGATATAAAAAAACAATATACACTGTATCTTTTCAATTGTGAAAGTCACAATTACCCATGGGGTAGGGCAATTATATTTACCATGTACAACAATGAAATATGATGGATATTGACGTTTCAACCTTTACCATTCTTTGAGTTGATATTCTTACAACGACAAAAGACATGGTTTTGATATTCAGCATCTGCATTACTTGTTGAGATACCTTTAATTATGTAGCCCTTTCATCATTTAAGCTTTGTCCTTGAACCTTTTGAACAATAATTGTTTTTCTGATATTAAGCACATTCATACAACTCTCAAAAAAGAATTTATGGCTACGGACCTTGTATCCTTGAACTTGACATTTGACCTACTTTAAAAATTCAACTTTGTCCTATGCCTTTAAAACCCCAGAAAATATGGCTTTTGTATTCAATGAACATTTACATATTAATAGGCTTATTGACCTTGTGACTCTGAATTTGAAATGGAGTTGGAATTTTGATAGAAAAATCAGTCTATATATTTAAAGAGAACGAGATGTTGATTGTATTAATGACCACTTTGTGACCTTGGACCTTGAAAGCAGTAGAACTGTTACAATAGATTCTCTCAAGGTTGAATATAATACCACTCTCTCAGTACAGGTAAACAGCAAGTACCCACCCATGGTAATGATGTTATTGAAAATCTATTCTTGTGGTATTGTGTATTGATTTGTGGCAAAATCTGTTTTGTCTAATTTTAGCACATTTCACAAAATTCATTATCAATTTAAAAAAAACAAAACAAAAAACAAACCTCAAAACTTAAGGAAAAAGGAGTGGAACAAAAATTTCCTTTTCATGACTTCCAGCAGTAATGGTATATAAAAATCACTACAGTATAGGAGATCTGCAATTTTGAAATTAAGCTGCTATTACTTTTGTTGTCCTAATATGACTTAGATATTCTTGCCAAAAATACATACAGACAAACGTCGTTATCGAAAAAAAAACTTAGAGATATCTGAGGATTTGAGACATTGAAGGTTAAATACTTTAGAAATGTGTGGTAAGAACTTCCCAATCACTTTGACATATCCATGGTATTGGAGATATCTGTGTTTGAGTTACCGAAGTTCAACTGTATATTAATTGATAATTTTTTAGTTAAGTTTAACAGGCATGGGATGGACTTTATCATTATTTTGAAGCAATGGCATTTAGATCATTTTTTCACTCATTTTAATTGATGATATCCTTTACTAAAAAATAAGAGATTCTCATTAAAAAAAAGGTCATGAATGCTTAAAATGCAGCAGCCTCTCGTTAATTCTAATCACTAATACTCATTTACATTATATGAACTTTTGTATCTTATAGGCTTCTTCAATTTCTTTCTTTTGGAAGTGAATATAATTTAATGAAGAGTTGTAGGTGGAATTTATTTTTGTACTGACTCCTCCAGACTAAAGAAGTCTATTTTTTAGATAGGTATATTGTATGCTGCACTATATTTAAACTAAAACCGATAGATTTTGTGACATATCAATAATACACGTGTACACGTGTAGGACTATGAGGTAGCTGAAGCAGTAGATGTTTGCTATTTACCTCAGCCAAGAGAGTGGGGGAATATCAGGTAACAAGCCATAAACATGGCTGACGCAAACCGCAACCACCATCAATAGATTGAATTGTCAATAGACTCTGATTAAAGTTGCTTCATTGTATCATTATGTAGAGGAAAGGCTGAAATCGTATAAGTATTGAAATCCACCTCATTTAGTGGATCAAATTGTGCAAGAGTAAAAGAAAAAAATATTGCCAACGTTATGTAGTTGCTGGTTTTGAGTTTCACATGTTTTAGTCTGCAAGGTAATTGGGGGTTGCCTAGCCCATACAGAATAATTTAGAACTCAAAATACAGTTGAACTTTGGTATCTTGAACACCAATAATGCAAATACTATGGATATGTCAAAGTGATTTAAAGTACCAACCCCTTTATTCTTTAAGTATTTTACCTGGTTATCTCGAATCCTCTGATATCTCGAAGTTTTTTCTCGGTCCTATTGAGTTCGAGATAATGAGGTTTAACTGTAATTTAAAACAGAAGTTATTTTTTGTAAAATAATCTGCTTATAACATAGTTGCCAACTCACCCGATTTCGTCGGGTTACACCTGATTTTTCTACCCTTAACCCGATTATTTTTTATGACCCGGCGGGTCAGGCTTTTCACCCGATTTTTGCCAAACAACCCGAAAATCTTCTGATTTCCGGATTTGGTTCGTAAATTATGTTGCACTTTTAACTTCCAGTTACAACCCAAGCTGGATATACAAAAACAATGCCGATGGCTATGTTCAGTAGGCCGTGTACCAGATAATTATCAGTGCAGGTGTAAACAATTACCTGAGAGTTGTTTTGACAAATCAAAGTTTGAAGTCAATTTAAAATGGCTTCTGATAGAAAGAGATCGTTATCAGGGCCAGCAGGAACAAATTGAACCAAGAAAATGAGAAACGATATTTATGTACATATCAAGGAATCTCGGAAAAAAAACTTTCATGACATGAAATAAAGTGTAGGCATAACTGTACATTTAATAGCACTTGTTAAATGTTAATTAAATTAATTCGGGAGAGGAAAAATAACTTCAAAACCCAAAATGAGAATACTTTCAAATTTAGCACAAACTTTCCATGTACTTCAAATCAGCAATGCAGATTCTGAAAAGACTTTCCTTTAAAAAAAAAAAATTGCACACTTAATTAAGGTCAATACTGAATAATGAAACCTTCAATGCTCTTTTAACATGTAAATTTAATCAATATGTATATATATTAAATATTTTATCACTGTAATTAAAGCCTATTTTTAATAAAATAATTTCAACAGGTCTAGGTGGCCTCTTTTTTGGAGGATAGATTTTATCCTCTAAAAACAGAGGATAGAGGTGTCGCCACCTACCGGATTTTTCAAAACAAAGGGCAGTTAACTCTTAACCAAACAAATAACAGCAACTCTTGTATTTATCAGTTTATGAACCGTAACAAATAAAACGTAAAATTTCATGTGATGATGGATATATCTAGATATTAAATCAATATAACATTTATTTTGTAAATGCTGTCAATCAATTAATTAGTTTTAATTAAACTTTAAAGGTTAGTTAACCACGATTACCCTTACCTGTCTGAGACGTTAATTATTATCAAGCTGATTTTTCTGTACCGTAATTATGTGTAAAACGGTCTACAAATGTTGATAAATATATATATATTTTTTTTTTTTGAAAAATTAAGTTTAAGTTTTACTAGTATTTCATTTAATGAATAATCCTGAAACACATCATTTTTGTAATATTTTGTTTTAAATTATTATACATATGTATGTACATGTATATGATAATGTTAATTTCTTAGTAAACATGTTAAATTATCTATTTTATTTATTTATATGCTTTTCAAATAATTTATTTATTTTTTTTAATAATATTATTTATCTGTTTAATTTATATTCATTCATTGCTTAAATTATAAGGCAGAGTATATTTTGTGTTTAAAATACGTTTCCTTCTGTGTTTCTTTTTTTCTTCATTTTTAAATTAAGAGAAAATATGAAAGTAATATTATTTAAGTCTCTTTTTATTTGTCTTGATAGGGAAAAGCATAAAAATATAACAAAATCCCAAGAAATATTAAGTAAAATGGAGTGCAAGAAGTTCCAACTTTGAAAGCGTATTGTAAAAATTCTAGACATAGAATCTCAAATCGCCACATACAATCGATAGTTTAATGTTTGAACTTTAATATACATGTACTCTGGTGCTTGCACTTTTTGATTAAAGATAGGCATGAGGCGTTTGAAAATTACCTGTGTTATCCTCTGAAATTGGAGGATAAACTATTCCACAATACAATGCGGTTTCCATATATGGTAAAAAATTTGGCCGCCATATTGAATCTAGCTATCGTCCAAAAACGGGGGCCGCCTAGACCTGTTCAATACACAAATACTTATATATACATATATATTAATTTAATCATGGTACAAAATGTGTCGTGAATGTCGTTACGCACTATGACCAGATTTTTTACTTTCCAAATCCGGTCATGACCAGATTTTTACATGTTGGAGGTTGGCAAGTATGGCTTATAATGTACAGTGTTTCTGAAGATAATTTGAAATGAATTTTTATAAAATGTCAAAAAAATAATTAAAGGAAGCTACCTCAGTAATCAACAGGTAAAAGTTTTTAGCTCAAATAAACTTTTTCTCTAAAACAAGTGGGTCAGATTGAACCAAATTAGGGAAGAAAGGATTTTGGGTAGAGGGATTCAGAATTATTCAAACTGAAGAGCCATGCCTTCTTTCAAAGGAAGATAATTAAGAAATATCAAAAGTAAGGTGGCGTCATTTAAAAATTTTCTCAGGAACCATTGGGAAAGAAAAGATAAAACTAGTTATAGGTGTAAATTAAAATTAGATCAGATCATAGCATCCTAGGGGTTGTGTGAAACCATAATTATGGGGATCAAAGTTTTACAAGGGGTGTATATAGGGAAACCTCAAGAAAAGCTTGAAGAACAAGGCCATGATTATTAGTCATATTAATATGGAAGCATCCTCAGATACTGCAGATTCAGGTGTGTTCAAACCATTGCCACATTAGGGGATTGAAATTTTGTATGGGAATTTGTATGAAAAAATCTTTTAAAATCTTTTCAAGAACAACTGGAGCATGTGTAGTCATACTTCAATGTATTGCAGATTCATGTTTGTTCAAATTATGGCCCCAGGGACAAGGGTGGGGCTAAAATAGGAAGTTTTGCATGAGAATACATAGGAAATATATGTATAAAGAAAAACCAAACCAAAATTTTTGTGGGGATTAGAAAGGCTGAAAATCTTTTTAAAATCTTCTTCTAAAGAACATCAGGGCCAAGGGGACTCAGGTGAGCATTGTGGCCTTTGAGCGTCTCTTTTACATATGTTTTTCTTTAGTTCAGGTTTTAAGACTCTGTCAGATCTAAGAAACAGTTGCTTTATATATAAAACTCTTTGCAGACCTCCCCCACTTCCTGTTTTATGTTTCCATGGGAACTGCTTTGCTGATTGTGTTGAAGTGCTGAGAGAACATAATGTCACCAAAGGACTCAAATTTATTCTAGTCACAGAAGGTAAGCATAATTAAACGAGAACTTATTCCTGTTTTTTATCACAGAAAGTGAGTTCTGAGTTTTACTAGGATCACAGATTGTGAGCTCCAGTTCAAATTCATATTCACTGTAGTCCCAGAAGGTAAACTCAAAAACTCAAATTTTGGACACAGATGGATCTGAGTCTTCAGGCGTAAATTCACCCGAGACATTGTGAGTGTGAGACAGAATCAGATTCACAGCTCTTAATCACTTTGAAAGTGAGCTTTGAGTTGGACTCAAATTCACTGAAATCAAGCTCTACTGAGACACTTGAATTAACTCGATTTATATAATCACAAATCTTTACAATATGTGCTCCGAGTGAGAATTAAGTAGTCTCTAATCACAGATCGGGTCTGTGTCTAACTAATATTCACTGCAGTTTGAGATACTGAGCCTTCATTTAAATTCACTAAAGACACAAACTATGAGTTCTGAATCACTCAAGTTTGCTCTTATAGCAGAAAAAATCTGAATCACTTAAACATGCTTTTATCACAGATGATAAGCTCTGAGTTGGTACTATCTTTGTCACAGAAGAAATTTTTGTGAACATTTAAATTGCCATGTGTAAAGTGCAAAAATGACACCATTTCTCTTAAGGGATAAAATTTGTTTGTGGATAATTTTTCGGACAAATTATCTCTTATTACCTTCTTAATGGCAGGATTTGTAGTCATATTTGTCACTGTAACCGCGATAAGTGCCAATAAGTGGGAAGTAACTGCAATTAGGTGGAAAAAGGTCAGATTCAATGCTTCCTAGTTTAAAAACAAGCACTCTTTATACTATCAGTTTCATTTTGATATTGTATTTTATCATGAATGAGATATTAAAAATATACTCCCTGAAGAAATCCTTTGTTCATGTACACTGAGGAATGACCTATTTTAACTCGAAGAAAATGATCTCTGATTTCATTTCATTCAAGTCAAAGAGATTGCCTAAAATGTCACATTATATTGCTAAAGAAAACATCACTCAGAATGTGACACATAATGAAAAAGGTGACATAGATAATAAAAAGGTAAACATAACACCCGAGTACAAAGAGTATAAATGTTACGTTCCTTCAATACTAAAATGAGTTCTCATAAGCTAACTCTTATATTGATCATATGGTTTCAATTGCAAGATATTGTAACATAATAAGAACCTTCTTAATTTTCAATATAAAATCATTTCATTTTTCCCCTAATTTCACTTTAATTTTTCCAGGAAATGGTCCAGGAAAAGTTCTTGACCCCAAGAAGAGGGTGGTGGAGAGGATTGTGAGGTTTGGTGACACCAGCCAGGTAAATATACGCCCACCTGCCCTAGGTCATTGACCTCTCCTTCACCTGTCACACAAGTCATTGGAAATCGTACTTCCTTAATGTTCTCTATGATGTTACTGTAAAATCATTGCTCATGGGGGACCAGTGTTCATTGACTTTATGTGTCTCCCTTACTCACAAATTTACGTCCCCACAAACAATAACTTAAACAATGATCTTCTGTATATATGAGTTACCCATAAAATTATTTCCGGTGAACCATTAAAATTTTAGTTGCCTATGAACATTGACCCCCCACAAATAAAAATGATTCCACAGTATTTGGAAAGGGTCACCAAAGGAAAGGGTTTCCCATCTATCTGTGTGTCTGTCTGTCTAGCTGTCTGTCTGTGTCTCTCTCTCTCTCTCTCTGCCACCCATATCTTTTGATCTGCAAGATTTAGGGATTAAATACATGTGTATTTTGTATAATGACTGCTTGCTACAAGGTGTTTTGAGAAGTATCATGATCATCATTCACATTACCTTGAACTTCATCATTAACCAACCTTGTAAAGAATATTTTGTAGTGATTTTGTAAACCCTTTAGCTTTTATACCAAAAGAAATAAGGCTTTGATAATCAGGGTGGATATTGCTCATTACAGAACTTTTTAAGGTACAATGCTTACTAACCTCATGATATTGACGTTTATCATATTTATATAATCTCAATTTTTGCTTATATTTTGAAACTGTTAAAGATAGAGCTTTGATATTTAGCATTGTCATGTTTAAAGACCTTTTAAAGGCCCTGATTGTTTTTTCCCCAATTTTTTCAAAGCCCTTGGATTTCTTTAATCTTTTAAGTTTAATATCTATTCGTGTACTGCTTCTTATAAGTACTGAAAGAAGTGCTAAGGTGACATAGGTCATTCTACTTTGTTATAAAAAAATCAATTTTGCCAATATTGTTTTTCCTTGAAGATATTGTTTTTAGCTCATGAGAGCTTCTTAAATTTCTGACTACTGGGTGACTTGCCATAGATGTGTACGGGATTCAAGTTTATTCAATTATGGAGGCGATACCCTTCTTCAAAGGGAGATAATTAAGAAGTAGGGAAGATATGAAATCTTCCTCTCAAAAACCATTTGGCTAACAAAGATAAACCTATATGAAAGCTTTCTTAAGGAGTGTTGATTCAATTTTGTTTAAATTGTGGTCTTTGGGCTGGGTTTGGGCCATGAAAAGGAATCAAAGTTTAACATGCGAATCTCTTGGAAAAATCTTTAAAAATCTTCTTTTTAAGACCAGCAGGTCCACTTTTAGTCATATTTATGTAGAAGTATCTTCAAGTAGTGTGATTGTTCAAATCATGACCCTCTTGGGATCAGGGTAAGGCTACAATTGAGGATTAAAGTTTTATATAGTAAAAACATGTATAGGGAATATCTGTGAATTAAATCATTTTTTTCAAGAACAGTGGAGCTATGCTTAGTGGTATTAATGTGAAATCTTTGTCAGGTAGGGTAGATTTAAGTGTCATTCTTTACACATTGGGCTATGGAAGAGTCACAATATATGTTTAAAATTTCCTTCAGTATTAAATATTTAGCAAAAATCCTTTAAATGCTTTTTCCTCTTGTTCTATACATGTTTGCCCTAATGAACATATACAGTTAAACCTCGTTATCTTGAACTTCATGGAACCAAGAAAATACTTAGAGATATCCAAGGATTCGAGATATCCATAGTTAAATACTTAAGAAATAAGCACTTGGGACTTTAAAATCACTTCGACATATCCATGGTATTCGAGATATCTGTGTTTGAGATACCGAAGTTCAACTGTACATGTATTGGAATAAGAGAGGGTTAGATGAATGATTGGTAATTTGATTTTCTTTGTTGACAGGATGTGGTGACAGCATTAGGAAGCCCTTGTAAAGTTTTCTACAAGGCTGAGGATAAAATGAAGATCCACTCCCCAGCTTCTCATCACCGCCTTCGCTCCCCAAGTTCAGATTATTTCTATAACTACTTTACATTAGGCATTGTAAGTCTTATACTCACCTGATAAACAATGATCATACAAACATTTTCACTTCTGGTTCAAAAGTAATGATTACTCTATGAAATATTCTTAGGTTTACAAAAGTTCTTAGTTTCCATACTAGAAGTAATATTCAATTTTTTCAAAACTGTTGGAGAGTAACACAATAAACTTTTTTTTGAAAGGGGGGGGGGGGGGGGGGGGGGAGTGAAGTTACAGTAAAAAAAAAATACTGTGAACATGTTTATACATGTAGTACATAAATGCTTATTACAAATTCTGATTGTAAGTATAATACACATTTATTGAAAAGTGACTTGTATTAACAGATGTTGATGTTGATTTGGTCACTTTATTGAAGTTTATTCTAACTTAAGTTCAATAGCATCAGGATTTAGAGAAAAAATTACCTTGTTAATCACCAGATGTATATTGTTCATAACAGAAAGTGTTTTGGAATTTAATAAAATGTATTACGCTTGCAGGATATCTTGTTTGATGCTAGTACTCATCAAGTTAGAAAATTCATTCTGCACTCCAATTACCCAGGGCATTATGACTTTAACATGTAAGTATGATACACAGATATAAAGTCAGAAAAACAAGGATATACTTTTCTGAATGACATGACAAAAGAATTATGTGGATTTTCATTTTTAATTAATATTTCAAGTACTATTGTATATAAATTAATGAAGACTTAGACTACTGACATTGTTACTTGATTTGACAACAGGTTCTGACAACATAACTTGATTCAATTACATGTACCGATAATATTACTTGATTTGACTATATTGACTTATCACTGTAACTTTGATTACAAATACTGACAAGGTTACTTGATTTGACAATAGGAAGTGACACCATAATTTGATTTGACTATTGGTACTGACACTGTAACTTGATTTGACTACAGATACCGATTACAGGTACTGACACTGTTACTTGGTTTGACTTCAGGTTCTGACACTGTATTTCTGAAACATATACTGATACTTTGATTTGACTACAGGTACTGTCGCTGTGAGTTTAAGATTCCCGTGTGTGTGGAGGTCACCAAACCCAAGAAGAAGAAGAGACAGACAGAGGAAGAGGAGATCATAACAGCATACTCCAAGGTCAGATCAGAAATCAACAACATTCTTAGAAAGATTCTACAGTTGACAGTTCTGATCAGAAATCAACAACATTCTTATAAAGATTCTACAGTTGTCAGTTCTGATCAGAAATCAACAACATTCTTACAAAGATTCTACAGTTGTTGTCACTTCTGATCAGAAATCAACAACATTCATATAAAGATCCTATAATTATTGTCTGTTCTGATCAGAAATCAACAACATTCTTAAAAAGATCCTATAATTATTGTCTGTTCTGGTCAGAAATCAACAACATTCTTACAAAGACTCTACAGTTGTTGTCAGTTCTGATCGGAAATCAACAACATCTTTATAAAGAATCTACAGTGGTTGTTAGTTCAGTTTTATAGTGTTATGGAGTGTTTTTTAAATTAAAAGTAACGTGTAAAATGTTTCTCAAAACGAGCTCTACACTGACTATATTCCAGTCTAAATCTTATGAGATATAAATTTTTTAGAAAAGTATATGTAAAAAGTAGATACAGGAGAAATAATGTTTTCTTTTGATGATGTAGTGGGATGCCATACAGGATTTCTTGATCAAACCAGAGCAACAACCGGTCATCTTAAACCGAGCCTCCTCTACCAACACCAGCAACCCATTCGGTTCTACTTTCTGTTTCAGTGTCCAGGACATGATATTTGAGGTAAGTATTGACAGATCCAGGACTTTGTTTATTTATAGTGATATTTATTATTGTATTTACTGGTAGATCCCTTATATCAGGTCAGTTCTGTTGTTTTAACTTTTTGTGCTGATCCTTCAAAGGTCGTATTCCAAATTCTGTAGTTGCTTTTTTTTTCAATCTTATTCAGTCTGCAATAGCAGTAAGAAGGGGTTTGACTCAATTTCCCATAAAAGAAAGTTAACATAACATTCCACAAAAATTGGACATAAGAATTTTGCTGACATCTGTTACATACCATTTATTTTGCTTTTTTCAGACTAATTACAAGTTTAATTTTTCACTGATTTTCAGGTTATGCAGAACCAGCACATTGCCTCAGTGACGTTGTATCAACCAAAAGTCAAGGTCAAAAGTGAGCCATCTTGATGACAATAATGTATTAGGAGCATTCAACAGGACAGCTAAAGACAAATTCCAGCATGTGATGTTTTACAGAGACTGGCATCTTAGCATGGAACTTCCTGTCAGCTGTGAGACCTTTACTTCTGGTGGTAGAGTGCAGCTGTTATCAGTGATTTTATGTGGAGTATAATGTTACAAATATATTGACACTTTCTCTATAAGAAGGATGAATTGGCTGTACACATTTATCAACTTGTTATAGTCATTCTAAATATCCATACCTAGACATGCTGTACCTTGTAATTCTCAATGATCTCAGAAACAAATAGAAATTACAACATCCTTTTTATCATCCGTTATTCATATTTTTTCAAACTGCAAGATTGTATGGGTAATTATTGGCACAGGGAAGGTATGTATGTTTGGAGGTTAAAAGACAAACATTGCAACATACACTCAAAATTATCTTAGGTATAGTTTAAGACAAAGTTTATTTCTTGGTAAATTGAAACACAGATTATTTTTTTGTTGGGGGGGGGGGGGGGGGAGGGTTTAACCTCTTTGAGTTATGTGTAATTATTTAGAGTTTTAAGACTCCAATGAAATCATTTTAATCTTAGAGTATATATATGCTGACTCTATTTATAGACAGCATGAGTGGATAATAAAAATATGTATTGGTTCAGCATCATGTAAAAGTCACCCAGTCTCTTTATAGGTGCCATGTGAGATTTATTTTAGTTTGGTGCATCTGTACTTGTTAAGTTTTTAGCTGTTTGTTACTTCAGAAAGCACAAAAAAGTTTCTCAAAAATTCAGTTTTTTGTTATGTAATAAGAACAAGCCTAGTACAAATAATGGAAGTGGTGTATTTATTGTTTATTAATTATTCTTATCACTTTTTCAAAATTGAATGTTATATTGGACAATTATACATGTATGTACATTGTAAAACATTCACTGATTTTTTTTAAGCTCCACAATTATTAATTTAAAACCGTGCCTTGTATTATAAATTTCAGCAATATAGTACCAGTGTAATATATTTGTAGGCAGTAGAACATAGAGCCTATTATCAAACCATATTTAAATAGCGTATTATGTAATTGAAGTACATGTATGAAATGTCAGAGGAAATAAAAATTTCTTCACTCTTGACAAATATTAATTTAAATCATCCGTCTCCTCTAGTATAAAACAGAGAAAATCTTAATGTGAACAGTTTTAACCTTTGACAAAATATTACCGATAACTTTCTGCTGTGAACAAGCATTGTATTAGTGTATAACATGTGTCTGATATGTAGATTGTTAATGATGATGTATTTCTGAGATTGTCATTATTGTACTGTATGAAAGAATTACCTTTGTGGAGTTGTTTGGCCTTGCTTTACCCCGTGAGTGTAAATTAAGTGTAAAACCAGTTACATACACGTACAGCGCTGATTTTACACTGTGTCTGTGATATTTTACCAGTTTTGACAGAGAACCAGATTAACATAATTTATCTTTCAGTGAATTCCACTTAATTTTGTACATATTCTTCCATATAGCTTATAATTTTCTGTAATTTACTGTACTGTGTAATCAAATATATCTTGTATATAAGAGTACTTTTTGTAAATATTGTACAGTATCTTAAAATTCTGTGTTGTTTTTAATGCCTATATCATTTTATTGAAAAGACTATGTATTATATACATATTTTATGGTATGTGTAGCATTGTATTTAATCATTTACTTATGGGTTACCAACACAGAAAAAAAAGGTTTCTATCTCAGGGTTTTATTTGTCATCTCTTCTCTCTTTTTACTTGACATTGTTCAGGAAATGCAGGTACAATAGAATTTTTAGTGTGAAAGTCAAAGAAGTGTTTTTTAAATTGTATAAAGTGCTCAAATATTTATTTTATTGACATGTTCTTATGTAATAATCCTGTGTATCTGTGTTGATTGTGTTCTCCCAAGACAAATCATGGCTATGGTTTTATTTTTGATGCGGTACTGGAGATGGAGTGTTTTAACCCAATGTTTTATTTATGCCAGTGAACATCAGTCTCTGTGATATCGTGTAAACAAAGTTCACATTCCTCATGGTGTTAAACTTTAATAACAGGAGAATGTTACTCAGTTCTATACAGGGATATTATAATACACAATTAATGACTACTGAAATTGTACCCATTCTGCACATGTATTTGTATGCATTGTCTTGTCAAATTATAGATAATGTCCAATACCAAAAATGTTTAATTGCATGAGAATTCAATTCCTATTGTTTTAGTTTACTGCCCACCATGAATGCAGTTCAAATTTTTCCCAAGTGAGAATTTCTAGTGCATTTTAAAGCAAGCTTGAATATTAATTTAGTACATTTAGTTATGTTTTATTGAGTGTATAGTTTTTATATCCTTTCCTAAAATTTACTAGATCTATAATCATAAGTATAATTCTCAGAGCCTGTGTACTACCATATCCACACTGGGAGCTGATTTGTGAACAGGTCTTGTATAGGGCATTTACTACGTCTTATGGTGGGTAGTTTTTAACTGATGATGGTAAAATGTGATGTTGCTGCCTCATTTTGCTTGAATATTTTTGCTGAAGATTAGTATTAAGAGAGTTAAGTTCATCTCCTAGTGAAATGAAAAGAAATACAATATTATTACATGTAGTAGAATTCCAAATTAAATTACATATTTTTCTTTTTCAATCTTATTTACATAACATCCTGTACTGAATGCTACAAAGATTTTTGTTAAAAAAGAAAAAAGGTAAGAAATGCACCAGGTATCTTTAGCACAGCATTAGGGTTCATTCTGTAAACTGTATTGAATTTTGCTTATGTGTTCAAAGATTGGAGGCTTGTGCAGTAATTTATTTTAATAAACTATGCAAATTGAGTGTGTTTTATTTAATTAAAGCTGCAGGAGGTTTTTAGTGAGCTATAGTTTTTACAATTTATACTTTTCTCTGTTAATTTCAATTTTCAGGAGGAATTTAAAAATCACTGCAGGCTGTCTTGTGGTCCAATATTCTTTTTTTTTTTTTTTTTAAGTTTTACTTATATTCCTTTAAAAATTGAATTCAAAAGGGGGGGGGGGGTCTTGACTGCTCTAGTCTCTCTGTTTTATATATATATAAAACATATATATAAATATACATAAACATATATATATATATACATAAAACATAATATATATATATATATATATATATATATATATATATATATATATATATATATATATATATATATATATATATATATATATATATATATATATATATATATATATATATATTAGAGATGGCAATTTGTAATTGGTTAACCGGTTACTCGGTCAGAACGATGGTAATCGGTTAGAAAATCTGCAATTGGTTAGTTGGGAAAAAAGTAATATATGTGAAAATTTGAACACAATTTCCTGAAAATTCAATTTAAAAATATAAATAAAAATATGTGTATTGTTGTTAGCATTTCCACTTATCTATTTAAGCTCATTCAAAGATAATTAAGGCTCTATGGATTGGCATCAGAGGGGTAATTGGTCAGTTTTCGAGATGTTAATTGCTGTTGAAACACCATGTCATTACACAGCTGTACTAGTACTGTGTTTCTTTAATGAGTTAAATTAAATGATCGCTGTGTACTATGAACTGATTATTATGTGTACCTTATCTCATCTATCCTTTGCAGTTACCTATCAAATTATATTATTAACAAACATTGTAATTATAACAATAGATCAAACTTGGTTTTGATTATGGTTTACAATGCAGAATGAACTTTTTTTGTTTTGTTTATTTGAGTAGAACTTACAATGATGAAATGTGTCGAGAATTTTTGATACAATTAATCGGAACGTCTTGAGGTTAACCGATCGGCAATTCTGCATTCGATTGCCATCCCAAATATATATATATGTGAGTGTGTGTGTGTGTTGATCAGTTAAATTCTTGGTACAGTAAAAAGTTAAATTCTTGGTACAGTAAAAAATACTTAAATAAATAAAAACAGAATGCTATAGTATTAAAATCTTTACTGTTAACGCTTTCAGCCATGTTGGCTCTTCAGACAATTATGAAAAGTTCAAAACTTTGTCCATAATGTTGTAAACAATAAATATTCCTATGTAAAACTTTGATCCCTCATCTTGTGGCCCCACCCTACCCCCAGGGATCATAATTTGAACAAACTTCAATCTACACTATCTGAGGACGGTTCCATATCAATATTTCTAATTGTGGCTGTGTTGTTCTTAAGAACAAGATATTTAAAGATTTTTTCTATATATTCCTATTTAAAACTTTTACCCCCAAGTGGGGCCCTACCCTACAAATAGAATCTACACTATGTAATAAAGGTTTTACATAAGTTGCAATTTTTCTGGCCCAATTGGTTCTTGAGCAGAAGATTTTCAAAATATAACCAAATTTTCACCATTCTTAATTATCTCCCCTTGAAAGAGGGTGTGGGCCTTCATTTGAACAAACTTGAATCCTCTTCACCCAAGATTCAAAGTTCAAATGGTACCTGTGGCTAGATGGAAGCCACCATTGGAGTGTGTAGTTTGGTGTGGGGGGATTACAGTGGAATGAGTGCATTGTATACAGTGTATCAGAAATATTTTTTTAAAACAGCAATTACTATAACAATAAGTGGTTTCATTCATACATTTTACGAAAGGGGTTGGATGTATATCGGGATGGGTGAGTATAATGACCCTTGAGCCTCTCATTCCTAAAAAAAAAAATGTCATGTAAGTTATTAACAAAATACAACTATATACCATTGTGTGAATATATAATGTATTTATTTACAATGTAACAGGAAAGGACATCTACTATTACATAATTACATGGACTATTACATAATTACATCACAAGATAAATACAGCACTAAATCAATCAATAATTCTATTTCATCTCCAGTCACTGATATTAAACTACAAACAAAATTCAAATATAAATCCCTATAACTACATAAACCATTCTGACAGGCTATCAGAATGGCAATATTTAACACTGAACTTGAGATTTGTTAATTTTTCTCACTTAAGAAAAGCAATACAGCTGTGATATGTAGAGATCTAAATAAAAGCAATAGGATAAAGAATTTTACACACTATCTAGGTGATTAGCAGGAACTATATTCACAAATATGTCAACAAAGTATTTGCTTTATTTATACATGTACACTGTTAACAAATTGTAATCAAAATGATGAATATACACTTGGAAAAAAAAGAGAGAAAACAATTAGCAATAACAGTGCATAATAAGTTTACAAAATGTACACCATAAAGTGTTTAATGCCCCTCCCAACCCCAGAAATAACACAACCTCCATCCCAGGTACTTACAGTCACAAATGATTTAAAAATACTCAGTAATGTTAAATAAAAAGTCTGGTTTGTTTGTGCTCGCTTTCCACGAGTACACTCACACACCTCATCACAGCAGTGAGACCGAGTTGGCCATTGCATGTCTAACTTGCCCACATCTGAAGTTCCTTCAATTCATCATCATCTTCGTGAGCCTTTGCCTTGCCTAAAAAAAATCATCATATTGAATATCTAGAATCATCTATATACACGTGTTTCAGATTTTATCCTGAATATTTACATGTGTGTACTCAGTCTTCAAACATGATCATTCATAAGATTAAAAAAAGGAAAAGAAAAATCTTTTCTGGCTCCAAATTGTCACCAACTTAAGTTTAATGGTATACCTTACTCTGAAAAATTTCATTTTATATTTGATAAGTAGTTATTGAAGGGAAATTGACTTTCAGAGGTGCAGAGTATGAATATCTTAGCTGAAGTTTTCTATTATTAAAGTTATATCTAGGATGGAAGATACAATATCTTGACTGACAGAATTTAGATACTGAAGGGATCTTTAGTTTTAGAGCTTGAAGGTACAGACAACTTGATTGACAGTTTTTGGTTATTGGAGCCAGGAGAGGTCATCAATTTTAGAAGTGGGAGGTACAGACAACTTGATAGTTTTTGGTTATTAGAAAAGACTTCACTTTTGGAGTTGGAGAAAACAGATATCTCACCTAACTTTGGAGAAAAGTGAAGTGAAGGGAAACTTACTCTTGAAGGTGAAGTGTACAAATATCTCAACTAACATTAATTGGTTATTAAATGCGTGTCTACGAGAAAACCATGCAAAATCCAAATTTTATTATGAAAGGCATTGTGATCATTTTGACTGATTTTATTGTTTCTGATTAGCATCATGTGTCCTCTAATAAATCCCAGTATCAAAACTGTCAGGTACCTTTGGGAATCCCTATTATAGCCCTATATTCTATTTTTAGCACATTTTATGAAAATATTTTGAAAAACACCCATAGATTAAGAGAAAAAAATTGCAGGAAAAAATGCACTTTTATTCAAATGTTACATATTAAATAAATTTAAAGGAAGTGCTCTAACTAGAAATATTTTATTTAATTTCATTTATCAACACTGATTCTGTAAAAGTGGGGTCTAAAATTAGATTAAATCAATGTGTTTAAAATACCACTATCTTTAGAATGCTGTAAAAACCCAAGAAACGCTTAAAACATTATAAATATCAGTTTAATTGCAAAAATCCTTCAAAATCAATATATAGTTAAAAGGAATTTGGTTGCAAATGGCATTATGCTAATTTAAAAATAGATTGAAGTTGGCTGAAACTATTAGAAAAATTATCTCCCTTAGTGGAACTCTCCTTATTTAAAGGAATTAAAAGTGTGATGTCTTAATGGCAGACGAAAAGATGAAGTGTTGATTTGAGGACAATATTATGATAAAAGATCTCTAGCTTTGTTGAAAGATTGTAAAATAGATTCAGCTGAATATACAAGGTATTTTAAATGCAGCACATAAGACATTTCTGTCTGTGAAACGCTTCTTATCGTTAACCATCTTGAACCATACAGCTGTTATGGGACTTGGACAGTCCAATATCTGTAAACATACCTACATGTACATGTATGTGTCAAACACAGAAATATACTTGGTCTACACTGGAAAAGGAAAAAAGAACATGTTGTCACCCATACCTGATAGGGGAGACGCTATTATGCAAACCCGTTAACCGAGAGGGTCAAGCTGAATGAGGTTTTGCCTGTTGGAACTGGTAAGAACATTATGCAGTTTAAAAACTTAAGGAATTTTGCTAAACCATTGAAATTAACTTAATTTCTGACCTTAAAGTTTTCAGAGAGACACTGTACATGATATTTGGGTTGTCAATAAGAAATGAAACAGATTTTTAAAAAAAAAAAAAAAAAAGCATGTTGGGGGTTCCTCCCCTTAGTGAGGGTTGAGAGGGCAATACCAGAGTAATTGGGGAATTATGTCATTATAGGTGAAGAAATTCCCCAGTCCCACAGGTCTTAAGGACAACCCTATACATGTAAATATAATATCACAAAGTGATATCATAATTGGAAATATTTACTGACTTTGTGTTTATAGTTTGTGAAAACCTATTGATATCAAGTTTATACAACTTACATGTCCAATCTATAATGATTTATATCTATCAACTAATTTGATTCCTAATTGTTACAGGTATATGCAAAAGATGTATAGAAACACACTTTAAAAAATCAGTATGGAAGTAAAGCTGAAGGAAGAGCTTAAAGGTACATATACATATACTGTGTGTTTATAATTATATGTAAAAGTTTTATCAAATTATTTCTAAAATTTACTCAGTAGCTTATACATCAAGTTTCACTTATGAAGCAAAATTACCTGCTATTATGTTATAGCTGAAATACATGTAAAAAGTGAAAACTCTTGAGCAGCAGTCCACTTGCTAATTCTTGTTCTCATTTGAGTATATTTAGTACTCACATAAATTAAGGATTCTACAGTAAATGTTGATGAATGGCTTTTACACTCAATAGTTTCATAATATTGATCATTTCACATGTAAATGATCCAATCCTGTTTGGAAATAAAATTTCAATTGCATATTGTTTTGAATTAGTTCTAAAAATAAAATCTCAAGTGTGATTTCTGTTTCATTTTATGTGTACATAACTGGTTATAAGTATTCATGTAACTATGAGGATTATTATTATAAGTATTGTATAGTTAATATTAAAATTAATGTTTATTCTTTAGCAGAAATGTGTTCCTATTGACAAGGCAACAATTGAATCAAACCAAACAGGTGATCACTTACTGTAATATAATATAATATTTTTAAGGTACTACATAATAATAAAGATAATGTCAATGTTTAATATCTCAAAAAATAAAATTAACAAATATGTTTCATTTCCACACTGAAAAATATAACCAAGTGGACATTGTTCTCATGCAGTTCAATGACATGAACCAGAGTTTGTACATGTGGTTAACATTTTATAATGTATACATACAAGTTACTATAATCATGATAATATACATGTAACTGCTCATTCACATTACTGATAAGTAAAATAACAAAGAACAATTTATGTGAAGTTAGGTCTAAATGGTGAAGATGCCTGAATATGTGACTGATAAACTGAAAAGTCCAGTCCATATAGTTCAAGTTTTGAGCTTTAAAATTATTTAATTATGATTCATTCAAAATGTTTCAGCATTAGCATTTTTAGCATTATAACTGTAATGTATAAGGGTATATATACTTCATGGCTTTTTCAATTATTTTACAGAGCAAAGAGTGGAGGAAAATGGAAGAAGTCATGGACTTAACAGAAAACATATGACCTAATACCTGCAGGTAACAGCCTCCACCCCCCCCAACCCCCAACCCCCCCAACCCCCCAATAAATGTTTATTGGTCTGTCCATTGGTCATTCTGTCTGCACATGTATGTACTATAACACTTTAATTTGGGAACAATATCTCTTAAAGCCTTTGAGCTTTTGCAATATCATTTCATATCACAACTCCTTACAGCCTAGAGAAGATCCCTATTGATTTGAGGTCAAAAGGTCAAGGTTGGAAATTCCTACAATACAAAAAAAACTCAAATAATAACTTTAGTTTCCCTTGAGCTTTTTCTGTTAAATTTTATATGATAATTCCCAATGACTTAAAGAAATCCCCTTTGATTTCAAAGTTAAAAGGTTTAGTTGAAAAATTCATATCTTGCAATAAATAATGTCCTGGTGATAACTTTGGTTCTCTTTGAGGTCTTGAATTTATTTCTTTAATAAAAAAAGACACCAATTGACTTTAAGGCCAAAAGCTGAAAGGTTAAGGTTGACCTTTTTCTTCTTCCATCTGCATTTTTTTTTGGTCCAGTTCTTCCATCCTCATTTTTTTTCCATAAGTGGGGGCCACAATTCTCTGAATTAGCTTGTTTTATATTTGGATCATTTGCAGGCTTGCATTAAACTCAATTAGCCATTTAAGGCATTTGGATCTCTTACAAAATAGGAAATAAAGGTGATTCAGGCTAGCATTGCCAAGGTCCCTTTGTTGTAAAATTGAAATTATTCCCTAATTCCCAATGTCATTTAGAACATCAAAATACGTGCTCTTTTGCTTTTGGGTATAAATGAAAATTTACTGTACTAAAATGTCTTCTTTGATTATCATAATTATTGCAATATCAATTATGAACTTTAATTCAAACATCAATTTGTCAGTGCTTTTACAGATTTTGAATTCATATCATCAGTGCATATAAATTGGTCAAAAGATGAAAGATCTCAGCATAAATTGTTCAATCATGCAAAGCATATCCTGTCAAATGGAGATTACCCTCCCTTAAAGTGTCAAGTATCTCAGAAATTGGACTATTTGCAATACTGTTCAGGAATATTTTACAGTCAGTACATTTAGAAATAGGGCCTGTTGCACCTTGCCAAGGTACAGAGTTGATGCTTCAAGCTGTCGACGGCATTCCAAAAGAAAAGGATGAAACTTTTTTTTAGCTCACCTGAGCCGAAGGCTCAAGTGAGCTTTTCTGATCGAAATATGTCCATTGTCTGTCGTTGTCGTGGTTGTAAACTTTTCACATTTTCATCTTCTTCTCAAGAACCACTGTGCCAATTTCAACCAAAATTTCCACAAAGTATCCTTGGGTAAAGGGAATTCAAGTTTGTTCAAATGAAGGGCCACACCTTCTTCCAAGGGGAGATAATCATGAATTTGTGAAAAATTGATGGCATCACCTAAAAACTTGTCAAGAACCACTGTGCTTGAAAATATGAAACTTATATGGAAGCATCCTCAGGTAGTGTAGATCCAAGTTTGTTCAAATCATGACTTCCAGGGGTAGGGTGGGGCCACAATGGGTGATCAAAGTTTTACTTAGGAATACATAGGAAAAGCCTTTAAAAATCTTCTTCTCAGAAACAGCAAAGCCATGATTGATCATATTTAAAAGGAAGCATCCTCAAGTAGTGTAGGTTCAAATTTGTTCCAATCATGACCCCCGTGAGTAGGGTGGGGCCAGAATGGTCGATCAAAGTTTTGCATATAATACATGTACATAGGAAAAATTTGTAAAAATCTTCTTCTCAAGAACAGCAAAGCCATAATTGGTCATTTTTATATGGGTGCATCCTCAGGTAGTGAAGATTCAAGTTTGTTCCAGTCATGACCCCCCCCCCCCTCCCCCCAGGGGTAGGGTGGGGCCACAATGGGTGATCAAAGTTTTACATAGGAATACATAGGAAAAAGCCTTTTTAAATCTTCTTCTCAAGAACAGCAAAGCCATAATTAGTCATATTTAAATGGAAGCATCCTCAGGTAATGTAGACTCAAATTTTGTTCAAATCATGACACCCCCCCCCCCCCCCCCAAGAGAATAGGGGGGCCATAACAGGGGATCAAAGTTATACAAAGGAATACAAATGTTATATCAATAAAAATTGTCTTGTTAAGAACAGCATAGCCATTATTTGTCATATTAATTCAAATATTATTATTTTGCTTTATTTCAGTGTAGTAGCTTCAAATGAGTTTTTAATTTTTTTGTTTTGTTTTTTTGTTGTTTTTTTTTTTTTGACAATTTAAAATTAGAGATCATCTTAGTAATAAATTTTTTTATAATGTTGCTGTCTTTAAATTTTCTCTGTAAAAGTAACATGTACATGTACATGATACATTTGGTATTTTTCAAATGCAGTTGAAGGAATTTAATTGAGCATTGTCAAATATTTCATTTAAATACTAGTTGTGTTTTTATGACTTTATGGTATTAAAAAAGACATAAACTTTGTTCTGTTCATTCATTTGTATAATTTTAGGGCAAAAAAAATCAGCATTTGTATAAAATGTTTTGCATGTTTAAAAACAACTTTTGCAATGAAGAACTGTATGAAATTTGGGCAACACTGTGAAAAAGTGGATTTTATTTACTGATGTGTTCACACTTTTGAACACTCTCTCTGTTAAACTTGCAATTTTATGTATTTGCAGTTTTTGCAATGTGCATTTTCATGCTAAGGGATCCTGTAAAATGAGCCCCATAGCTACATGTATAGCCAGTTCATTGCTATGATACATTAAGCCTTGTCAAAAACTCATGATTTTTAGCTCTACTGGTTAGAGACCAGAAGAGCTTATGCGATAGTAAGGGGTTGGTCGTCTGTCTGTCCGTCAACAAAAGCTACTCCTCCTACAGTTTTGGTCTGATTCCAATAATTTTTGGCACACAAGTAAAGTACACTGAGATACATAATTTTTTTTTATCGGATTTTGATGAACGGTGTTGCTATGGTTACTAAAATAGAAATTTCTGTAAAATTCTTTTAAAATCTACTCCCCCTTTAGTTTTAGTCAGATTTCCATGAAAAGAGACCAAATCAAGGATCATTATTCTATTTATTTCTGTTGCAAAGTTTCAAGTCCAACTGCTACTTATCTCTTCCTTTGTTAGAAGTACAAACCAGTAGAGCTACAGTCTCGAAAAAGACTTCTGGTTAAACAAATATTCAAATCATGCATCTTTGTGACATTCTGGATAAATATAAGCTAATTTCAGTCATGAAGATTGAAGGTCATGTGCCTGAAATGATTTAACGTTCAAAATGTAACCACTCTAGTAGTCCAGTATGCCTTTCTACCCAGATATTGTGTAATTTTGCTAGGGTGAAAAAATCAACTAATTCAAATGTGCCACCAAATTGCCTGTTATTTTTACTTAAATATCTTAAAACAAATACTTCTTGATAAAAAATATAATCACTGAAGTGTCTCTTAAAATTCTATGCCTGTTTTTTCTACAGAATATCCCTTAGAATTATTGTGACCTTTTTGCACTTGCAGTTCTGCACTTACAAGAGTGAAAACTCCATTAATTTAAATTTGCAACCAAAATCCCATTAATACTAAATAATATATTTAAAAACAATTACTTTTTAAAAATATGAAATCAATGGAAGCGTTTCTTGGAATTTTATAGCTGTTTTTCTGCAGACTATTCAAATATCTTTATTTCTTACAATTATCGTGACCTTTTTGCACTCGTAGCTCTTCACATTCAAAAAGGTATGTGGAAAAAATTCTGTAAATATTTTTTTCAAAGGTTTTAATTCCTTAAATCCATTAGTTATGAAGATATTATGGAAATTTTTTATACACAAACAGAATATGTACAAAAGGTGTTATTTTTCCATACTGGGTATAGAAATAGGCTGACGATAAACTAATTCTCCCTGTATCCATGGTAACAAATCAAATGACGTCACCAAACTTACGCAGTAAGTAAGTGACCTTGATCTCACTTTGTATGCAAAGTTTCAAGAAATTTTGAAAAACTTGCTTTCATAGCATTCTGCATGGTTTTCTCGTAGACACGCATTTAAGAGTGACTTACTTTTGGATATGGAAGGTACAGATAACTCACACATTTTAGGGAGACTTACTTTCAGAGGTGGAGGACACAGATATCCTAACTAGAAATATCTGGTTATTGGATACCGAAGAGTGACTTACATTTAGAGACAGGAGGTACAGATAACTTGCAACACATTTTTTGGCTATCGTTTATTAGAGAGACACTTACTTTTGTGGGTGAGGAAAGGGGTACAGATATTCTGACGAACAATATCTGACTACTGTTTATTGGAGGGAGGTTTACTTTTAGAGGTTTGAATACAGATATTCTATTAGTTTTCTTGCTTATTGGAGGGACATATACTTTTAAGCATGGAAGACAGTTTTCTTGATTGATAGTTCTAGATTAATGAAGGAAAACTTATATTTAGCGATGAAAGTTACAGATATCATCACTGAAAGTTTGGGTTATTGGTTAGTAGAGTGCAACTATCTTCACTGAGAAGATTTTTCTTTTTTTTTTGTTATTAGTTACTGAAGGGTGACTTACTTTTAGAGGTGGAAGGTACAGATAACTCGTCAGTCGGTACAGATGGAAGTTTGTCTGTTGCTGTAGGGACACCAATCAATTGTTCATCTATTTCTTCTTGTTCCAATTCTTCTAGTTCAGCTAGCAGGTCATCCTACCAGGAGGAAAATGGAAATTGCAATTCACGTATAGTAAGACATTCAGCACAGTGTCGTTAAAAAACCAAAACTCAATGTCTTTGACTTGTATGTTTTAGACTGACTGCCAACACAGAAATGTGGTAATTTCTATACATAAACTATAATAAAAGATTTATGAAATGTAATCATTTATATTTTGTATTTTTTCTATATTTTACAATTTGCATCCCTTTACACATTAGATACATAGCCTGTCTATTAGTTTACCTCGTCTTCTGTAGAACCAAATCCTACAGGGTTAGAAATAGCATCTGAAATCTCCTGGGCTATTTCTTGTTGTTCTGCGACTTCATCCATTAGGTCATGTACCTTGTCAACATCCCTGCATAAAAACAAAGCTCATCAAATACTGTAAAGATGTATTTCTATTTTGGCAAGGTGTGAAAAAAAAAATCATTTCCTAAATTGATGCATGCCAAGAAATCTTATTTAATATAATGTATTATCTCCGAGTCACACATTTGCTGGGGAAAAGTACCGCTAATCGTGGTTTTCCCCAGAACCTCAATTATTTTAACCTAGCTGCAGAACTGTAGAGTTATGGTTTTATATTTTAGTCTTTGACCATAACGCTACAGATCCCAAAATGTAAATAAAGCGCAATCTACGGTGAAAGATTTTCTGCGCACGTCTCTACAGACCTGTCCAATAAATTCGCTTGTTGTGAATTTGTTGTCGGATGGCTATAATGAGTTTATTGGTCTGTAGAGACAACTAAAAATGATTAGGAGGTGGATAATACACAGGTTGGTTATAGAATATGTCTACAATTAGGGGATGAAAGGTTGTTGATTGACCAATGCTGGAAAGTGGTGAAATACATCCCCAAAGTGCACAGAAAATCTTGCACTGTAAATTGCACTTTATTTACATTATGGGATCTGTAGCGTTATGATTAAACACTAAAATATAAAACCATAACGTTACAGTTCTGCAGCTAATTTTAACCTTTTTTTTTTTTTTTTTACTATCTATTATGAATATAGAACTCTGGATGAATATAACTGAATTCATGTTTCTTTTAAAACATTTAACTGAAAGTTTGTTTTTATTACTCTAATAAGAAGGACTCATAATGAACCAAAACCCTTGTAAATAATTTTTTTTCTGAATTTTTTTTTTTTTTTTTTTTTGCTGAATATACCCAAATGCACAAACAGAAAGTTTTCACTGAATGATTATATTTCCTAAATGAATTACAAAGAGCTGACTTACATATTATTGTGAGCTCCTTTGAGAGCTTTAGCAGCTGACCCCATGACCTTTAATACTTCAGTATTTGTACTGGCATTCTCCAGAGCCTCTCTCTGAAACTCAATGGTCGACAATGTCCCATCAATCTGCTGTAGTTGTTTTTCATACCTCTTCTTACGTTTCAAAGCAGCTAGTGCAACTGTAAAATATAATTTTAAACTTCCCAGATTATAACAATGCATTATGTAATATTGTAAACAAAATGCATCTCATCTAATGTGCTCATCTAATGTGTTCTCCTGGCCCGTAAAATATCAAATCGTAAAAAAAGCCAGGAAAATTTCAGATATTTTGGACTACAGGTAGCTTAACTTACCAAATTGACGGTAGTGTATTTGATCACATTTTTTCTTATCAAAACATTTACAGTAATAAATGAAAGAAAAAGTGAGCAAGCTCACATACCCCACGCTCCTCCAAAACTCGACAATGCAACATGTACTGAATAGCACAGTGCATTTTAAATACACAGTATAATTCAAAAAGGGGCATTACTTGCAAAAAATCATCACATCAAAACTTCTTGCATATAAGGACATTCAAATCTTTGTATGTTACAAATTTAATTGGGCTGAAGTTTCTAGATAAATAATGGAATAAAAATTTCTTGGTAATATACAGTAAAACTCGGTTATAACGAAGTCATTGGGACCTGTGAAATTACTTTGTTATATCCATAATTCGTTATAACCGTATAAGGAATTCGTAAACTTTATATAGCTGGGGATGCAAGAAAACTTCGCTATATCCGTGAATTTGCTTTATCCGTGTTCGTACTAAAGGAGTTTTACTGTACAAATCTATACATTATGTCTGAAATACCTACAAAGTTTCAGGAAATTCAATGCAGGAGTTATGCTGACAAACTGTTATCTAAATTCCTCAGTGATTTCGATTTGTTAATGAGTGTAAGTCCATGTCCAACACATGACAACTTACACATTTAAATAATTGACGGAAACAAAATTATGATGTAGTCATATGAATTTGTTTATATACTGTACTTATGAAATTATTTAAGGCAAAGCACCAATTTGAGAGGGGTGGGTGGGGGTGGGGGGGGGGGGGGGGGGGTGAGAACTATCCAAGATCAAGATTTTGTGTGTGTGTTAAATCATTAATATTTTGATCTCAAAATCAATAGGGGTCTTTTAAGGTCATAAAATATTTCACATAAAATGTCATTACAAAGGCTGATTCCAGTGTTGATTTCCTTATTACCTAGCTGGAAAGTTTCTTCAATAATAAGCAAAACTCTTAGGGCAAAAATAACGGAATCCGAATTTCCTGGTAATATGCACATCTACACACTGTGTCCTGAATATCTGCCAAGTTTGATGAAATTCTGTGCGGCGGTTTAAAAGGAGTTGCGCTGACAAACTGTTCATCTCTATATTCAAGATATGGCCAAAAATCTAAGTTGAAAAGTGCTGAAATTCCCAGAAAAATAAAGGAATCGGAATTTCCTGGTAATATGTACATCTACACATTGTGTCCTAAATATCTGCAAAAGTTGATGAAATTCTGTGCGGCGGTTTAAAAGGAGTTGTGCTGACAAACTGTTCATCTCTATATTCAAGATATGGCCAAAAATCTAAGTTGAAAAGTGGCGAAATTCCCAGAAAAATAAAGGAATCGGAATTTCCTGGTAATATGCACATCTACATATTGTGTCCTAAATATCTGCAAAGTTTGACGAAATTCTGTGCAGCGGTTTAGGAGGAGTTGCGCTGACAAACTGTTCATCTCTATATTCAAGATATGGCTAAAAATCTAAGTTGAAAAGTGGCGAAATTCCCAGGAAAAATAAAGGAATCGGAATTTCCTGGTAATATGCACATCTACACATTGTGTCCTAAATATCTGCAAAGTTTGACGAAATTCTGTGCAGCGGTTTAGGAGGAGTTGCGCTGACAAAAAACAGGACTGACGGACTGACTGACTGACTGACTGACGGACGGGTCAAAAACATTATACCCCCCGCAACTAGTTGCGTGGGGTATAATAATTTTCTTCTTAAGTTCTTTTCTAATTCTGGGCAACCAAGTTTTGCATTCGGACAAGTCACAGTTTGCGATCACTTGCCCGAAGGGCAAGCGAATTTGAAAGTTAATGTCTATCCTAATCTCAGCGAGATCCGTAGAGACTAAAAATTTTGGTCTGGTATCTCTACGGATCTCAGACCAGTATCACATAATCTCAATCGGGGTTTCTTGCCCGGACTTCGACCGCTTGTTTTGATTAATACGGGCTGAAATGAATTGGCTGTCCGCTTCAACTTTTTGCTTTGGACATCCTTTTAATTCCCTATCACCATAAAACTTTCGTTTCTTACCTCTGAAAGGTTTAAATCCATCAAAATATAAGGTTGTTGATTTTTCATAGCAATAAGCTATTCGTTTAAACCTCCGATGCTGAAGAGTTCCAGCAATAGTCGGCTTCAAATACTTCGTTCTACTAATTTTTCCTATAGAAATGAACCGTAGTATGAAAAAGTTGAAGCGGACAGCCAATTCATTTCAGCCCATATTAATCGAAACAAGTGGTTGAAGTCCGGGCACGAAACCCCGAATGAGATTATGTGATACTGGTCTGAGATCCGTAGAGATACCAGACCAAAATTTTTAGTCTCTACGGATCTCGCTGAGATTATGTCTATCCCTGACTTGTTGATTTGTGACAGAATATTTTTTAAAGTCTATTAATTATTAGACTTAATATTATTACTTAAAAAAATTATTTATAGAAGGTTAAGTAATTTAATGTTTATTTCATGGCTATTCAGGGAACAGTCAATCTGTTATTTCTCAATAGTATATGGAAGACCTGGGAAACTCTTGCCTTTGGCCTTGGGCAACAGTTTCTTAGGTCTATCCCACTGTTTTGGGGTAACAGTTTCACAGTTTCCCTTGTGGTCATGAAATTAGTATGTGACATTTCCCTTCTCATGATATAACATATTTTAGAATTACCATCTTAATCGAATTTTTTCATACTCATTAATACGTCAAATGTATTTTATGAACAAAGTACTTGTAATTCAGTTTGACTTAAAGTAACTAATTAACAAACCACAAGGTCATCAAATCAATTTTAATAAAATCTGAGAAAAATATATTTAAAATTGAATGTTCTTCTCTTATTTTTATTCATATAATATACATCTCCTAAAATTCTCCTTCTGTAACACATATCTTGTACAATAACAGTAAAATCCTAACGACGAAAACACTTACCTCTTTTATTTTTGGTACCATTTTTCTTAGCTGTGGTCAGTTCCTGTTCAACCTTTTTCTCCAAGAAATCAGATTTTTTCATCAACATTTCCTCGATCTCTCTCAGTCTCTGTATGGCCTCCTGTGGAGAGGGGGTCTTGTCCTTATTTTTTCCCGTCCCAAACAACTTCCCGAGAAGACTCATGATCTCGACTTTTTCAAGTTCACAACAAAAATACAGCGAATTGACCAATATTTACAAATTCTGATGATGTTGAGTCACTTCCCCTTTTGCAATTTACAGTGAATTTTTTCCTCGATGTCGATTGGTCAATTTATATAGAGATAAACGTTTAGTGTCACTCGCGCCCGATCAAAATACGATAAATTTAGCTCGCCTGAAAAATAAGGAAAGGCCTCCCTTGAAAAAAACTTTTATCTTTTGGAATTGATTGCTGTCTTTCTTTTTATCTATTCAATCTTGTATGTGTTTTTGCCAAAAATAAAAAAAAGCGTAGATTAGCTGTTAGGTTAGGTTAGGTTAGGGCACCCCACCCCCCCTTTTGATGGTATGTTCCTGGAAATGTGACAGTTGGAAGTCCCAACCACATTAATTTTTCTTTAAGTATTTTTTTAATCTCAAATTTACATATATCTTGAAATCTTATTTCCTTCTCGATCAGTTCGAGATAATGAAAATTGACTGTAAATAGAGGATATTGTTTGATAAATGAAATATATATTGTCCATAATTCAATAAATATGTATTGATAAGCTGAAGTTGATGCTTTTGAAAGCAATGCAATATATAATGTCCTGATCAATATCATTTAATTATTGCTGTTTTTGAGGTCAATACGATGATTTAACAACCCTCGAAGTACAATATTTACTGATCCCGTAGGCTTCGCTGAATAATCGAGTAAGGACTAAAAAAAACAGCGATATTCGTTTGTTTATTTGTTTTTTTATTGTTGTTTTTTTTTTCAGATCCAATGATTTAAATGATACAAAGTTGTTAAGCAAACTTTATTGGCATCTTTCTTGATTGTTTACATCTGTTGAAGTTCTAGCTAATTGCAGTGAGAGAAGCAGTATTACAAAAACATATTAACCAGTTGTATATGTCCACCTGCAAGGTTTCTTATAAGTGAACATAACCTAGCTAGTATGATTTTTCCACCGAATGTTGAATCTCAGCCAGTCAAAGGGTTAGGAATTATTTAATCATATTTTTGTGGGGGGTTTTTTGTTTGTTTTGATTTTTAATAATATTAATTTAGATGTGTAATACCATCATTTATCTCCCATAGCTGGATCATTTTTTTTTATGAGAGAAAACTAGCTAGGTTAGATATCGTCACTCTTCTACATTCAAGTTTCATGTATATCATAGGTTTGGGCCATACAGGGACCATACATTTCGACCAGCATGGATAGGTCAGTGGTTAGAACACATGTCTACTAAAGCTGGGGTCCCAGGTTCGATTCCTGGTCCAGCTGAAAATGTTCTGCCTTACTGTTACATCCAACACAACAAAGATTTTCTCAAGCAATAAAAAAACATATACATGAGTAACGGGAAAGGAGAAAAATGCGACGGACCAGACCGGGTTCGAATCCCGGTCTGGTCCGTCGCATTTTCTCCTATCCCGTCACATTTGGTGCCGTGCCATGGCCTGGAAGTGACAGGTGAAA